GATATATATAGCTTCCAAAGATTAACTTAGTAAGGGTATGTGTTAGAATAAAAAGTATAGGGAAGAGTCCTCAAATTATAGTAATTTCTGATACTCAGATGAATAACATGTAAAAAACAGTTCATAGATATAACAATAATTTATATTACTCTTACGCAGCAAAACTGAATGTCTAGTTTCCCTCCAAATAAAATTCTCATCCCCAAATAAAATTCTCATCCCCAAATAAGTGGTGAAATATTTTATTTTCTACAGCTGTTACTTGTGTTTCTGACTTACTGGTCTTCATCTTAAGATTTTAAATATTACTTTCTCCCATAGTATTATATCTTAACTTTATATTTAGTTCAATGTCCTTGCAGCTTATCTCTCTAACTCTACTTCAGCTTTCTCTTCTTCATAGATTGTCTAGTGAAGCTCTTCCAACAATAGAAGAGACGTGAAATTTACCTTATATGATTTGACTTGGACTCTATTTTGTAATTTTTCTGTAAATTATAATGCTATAGAGAAAAACATGCAAAATAGATAAAATAAATATAAAACATATATAAAATGTATTTCCTGCATATGTTGTATTCTAAGTAGTTGAATAAGTGAATCTATAGATTTTAGTTAAGGTAAAAATGTTTACTAGTGTCTGTTCATCTGACAAACATTATAATATTTTAATTGTTTTTATTTTACCCCAAGGAGTTGTTTGTATTGCTGTTGTAAACAATAGGAAATAGGTTTTAGCCAAAGATGTAAAATCTTAAAGTCTGGAGTAAAAACAATTCTATTTTAAAAACTTGTTTTGTTCTGTCATATATCTGTATATCAGTCTTTTATACTTGATAATAATGTCTTACTTACAAAAGAGTTTCACCTTACTATGTAATGTTTAAGAGTGGTATTGTACCAAAACCTGATAAAGATTTTGTAATCAAAGAGACCTGTGTTTAAATCTCCGTTCAACCACTTACAAGGCTATGTGGCTAGTATTTATTTTTCTCTGAACTTTAGGTCCCTCATCTGAAACATAGGAATGATAAGACCTATTGACAGATCATTTTGAAGATTCAATGCCATGTAGTTTGTTTAGTATGACTCTCGATACATAGTTATTAGTCATTCAGCAATTATTCATTAAGTACCTACTTTGTGCTCGGTGCTATTCTTGGGACTGAGGATAATGCAGTGAATAAAGTCCTTATTTTCCTGGAGCTTATGTATTAAATAAAAATACAGGTGATAAGGAAATACAAAATAAAGTTGGGAGATAGAGAGTCACTATGTTTTTTACTTACTTTTAAAAGACTTCTTGAAATTCTTTAAAACACTTCTGTGTCAAATCTGAAGCTCTTACAGAACTAGTAGCTGCTAACTTAGACTAAATGTGTTCTTCAGCTTTCATCTTTAAGTATTAAAAATAGAATCAGTCAGCAGATATGTATCAAGCCACTTCCACATTCTGTGGTAAGCCTTGTGAGGATACCAAAGTTTACGTCCTCTAAAGAATTTCTAACTACCTTGGGAATATCTTTAGGATTTCTCATAGCCCAGAATTTTTTAAAACGATGTTTTTGGATGAAACTTTTAAACAACTTTTCTAGCTCTGGGTTTTATCACTGAATTTGATATCATAAATAAGTCCTAAGAATATGTTCTGTCTGAAAGCAGATGGAAGGATTAAATGACATTAAAGTCCCATTTAGATTTTCAAGTCTATAATATATCATTCACTTTCATTTTTCCAGTTTCAAGGTATATAAAAGTAGAATAATCTTACCTGACACGTTCTTTAGACTTTAGTTTATAGCCTTTAGCATTTTATAGTTATATATATTTTATGTTACAAATACTTTTCTACTTTTATCATAATTTGGATGATTTTTCCAGTTTCTGATCCATAGGAATCAAATATACTTTTTCTTATATATTGTCACTGTCAATGAACTATATTAATCACATATTTTGATAAAACAATCAGGGTGGGGAGGCCAATGACCCACTCTATATTGGGCTACTGAACACAATTAATTCTTAGAGTTGTGGTTAATTTTTTTTGTTTCAAAAATATACCTTGCAAAATAGACATTCTGTCTTGGAAGTTAGTGGTGTTTCACAGATAACATGAATATGTTCCAAACTTTGGATTTGAAATGGAAAGCTCAAAATATTTTCTAGAGTAAGTTGATGTAAGGATTTGATCTGATAGTTTTAAAGTTTTAGTGCATTAATTTCAATGTGTTATACCCAGAAAAATCTATGTCTATATATATCTCACCATATCCATGATTTCTTATTTCTAGGCAATGAAAACTACAAACAAATAGCAATGTGTGTTCTTTACCACATAAGCATGGATGACCGCGTTAAATCAATGTTTGCATACACAGACTGTATACCACAGGTAAGTGTTTTAACAAAAACATTTAAGATATATATTTTTTTCAATATATATAGATTGAATTCCATTTGCTTATTTTATGTAAGGGTAAGGGAAACAAGTGAGGTCAGGAAAGAATGCAA